CACAATTAGGGTTTTTTATCTGCCCCGGTGCCCCTCAGACATGCTGGGGCACCTGCTAAAGTGCATTTCTTTAGGCAACCAGCCTATATAAAATAAAGGGGAATTTTTGGGGATACACTGCTCCCTTCCTCTCCTATCAGATCCCTGGGGATCTGGGGACAGAGACGGGTCCTTGCAGCAGCAGCGGCCACCCAGCCCCTTCTCCGGGACCCATACCCCTGCCTGCACGCTGCCTTCAGCTCCAAACCACCACAGGGACCTTGTTGGGCAGCAAAGCAGCAGGAAACTCTGCTCCCCAACATCCCCCCTGCATCCACAGTGTTATAGCAAAGCCCCCCATGCATCACCCCCTACCCTCCTGCCATGTGGCCCAATGCAACGCCAGGCGGGAGCAGCCCCATCTAAGGGTGACAGCGATATCCAGGCACTCAGCATCCCTTCCAACCTTGTCCCACTGTATTTTTTGCCCTGTGAGAGACTGCGTTGGATTTTCCAGGGGCTTCCCAGACATGCGGTGACACCCGGCCGGGCCACCCGTACGTATCTGCAGCTGATCCATCTCTTTGTTAACATCTGCTAGGGATGAGCTTCCACCTGGCAGATGTTTCCTGGGACGGTCGCTGATGGATCTACTGCCCACAGGGGTCCTGCCGTGCTGCCAGCTTTGTCTTTGTGGGGGACGGAGTCCGTCTGTCCTGGCTGGCAGGGGTCACCCGGCAGCACAGCACCGAGCGCATGAACCGCAGCACCGGCGGCCTCAGGATGGCGAAGACCCACGGGTCGACGATGGAATTAATAGAGAGGAACCTCAGGGCAAGGAGGTCCCAGTCGTGGTCACCCTCTCCCTTGCTGAACTTGTTCACGTAGGCGCGGATCTACAAAACACAACGGGGAGGAATAATGTCAGGTCTGGGTTTCCAGGAGCCAGCCCTTGGGTAGCTTTTTGGGGAGATTTGGGCTGTAACAGGACATTTTCTGCATCCACCAGTTTTAATGAGCTTCATTTAGTTTCATTTAGCCCTAAGGCAGTTAAGCCAGTGGTGGATCTCACCTTGAAAACCACACGGTAAAAAAAAAACCTGCGAGGTGGAGAGGATGTGGGGTGCAGGACCGCTCCAGTCCTTCCTGCAGCATGCCGACTCATAGCAACTTACAGGGCTTCCTGGACGGGTGACTCAGCACTCCTTACTCATCTGGGTCTAATTGCCACCCTCTCACTGTGGGGGACAGGGGATGCTCGGGAGGGGACGGGAGTGGGGGGCGTGGGAGGCATGAGCATCCCTCCTCCGTCTGGGATGTGTTGGGTACCACCCAGGGATGGAGCATCCCGGGTTGTGAGGTAGCATTGGTGCAGCTGGCGCTGGGGGTTCCAAAGGCCTCCCCAATCTGAGGGGTTTTTTTTGCGGGGGAAGGATTTTGTGATGCTGTGATGCTCTCTGGGTTCGTGTGCCCAGGCTGCTGTGGGCAGCCGCAGCCAGAAGAGAAAGTATCACAGGATGGAGGTACTACAGCATTTGGCAGCTCGATTTGAGATGCTGCCAAAATGCTGCCCAAACGCAACCCCACATGGGAGCCGGGCGATGGGAAAAGAAAAGCTGGCTGTGCTTCTATATAAGACTATATCTGCTACCACATGGCCCATGAGATCTCCATCAGCCGCATTTTCCCACCCCGTCTGCCCCAAGCGGACCCAGAGGACCCTGCCCATGTGTCCCCACCAAGGGTTCTGACTTCATAACGACCACAGCACCCAAACCTGGGCTTTTTCGGGACATGGGGAGAGCTGCCCATCGTGCGTGGGCCCATTGACGAAGCTGAAGTGTCTCTCAGGATGTTGAGTCTGGCTCTTGGGATGCTCGCGAGCTCCCAGACGTTACTGCTCTGGCTTTTCTCTGTAGCCTGGCTCAGCTACAGCCTGTGGTTATTTCCTTTTCCCTTGAGAAAAGAAAGGGAGTACGAAGGGAAAGTTGCATCTGTTTAACTCCATGAGCACAAAATTAGCGCTGGCTATGCTCCTGACCTTCTGCGTCTCGCTTCTAATGGGAGCAAAATGACCTCCCGCTGTGGTGGGCTCACGCACATGGGCAGGGGACACGAGTGACTTGAGATGCTCCGGAGTCTGTGATGCTGCTGGTGTAATACGGCTTGGATGGATGAAAAGCTGCCCTTTGGCGGCGAGAGCCCGGGGCAGGGTCAGGGGGCTCGTTCTCTCCCCTTCCTCACTTGGCTGCAGTGTTTCCACCCCTATTTCTGCTGGACACCTCATGCAAGGACAGGGTATGGGATGCAGGCACGGCCCTTGGGACAAGGGATGCTGTGGCCCATGTGCTGGTCTCCATTCCCAGCAATTGCCCATCTCCACGCCCACACCCTGGTGTTGATGTGGAGGAGTGGAGACCTCCATCTGACGGCGGGGTGGGGGCTGCCTGCCTGTGGCTCCAGGGTCATCCCCCTGCCACAGAAATCTGGGGTAACTCTGCCCACCCAGCACTGGAAACCACTATCTCCAGTCCAGCAGCATCTCCTTCATCCCCATCTTTGGATGTCTGATTTCTTGCTCTGCCACCCCTCACACCTCCGCCATGAGTGCCTGACTCCTGGGAACAGCAGTGATGCCGTGTGGTCCAGGGGAGCCCGGACCCGGACCCTGCCCTGCCCTGGGCCATGCTGCCTGGCCTCAGAGCCTCTGCAGGATGGGAGAGCACCTCTGCTCCTGCCACCCTGTCCTACTGCCACCCCATCCTCCTGTTACCCCGTCTTTCTGCCACACCATCCTTCTGCCATCCCATCTTCTTGCTACCCCATCCTCCTGCCACCCCATCTTCTTGCTACCCCATCCTTCTGCCATCCCATCTTCTTGCTACTCCATCCTCCTGCCATCCCATCTTCTTGCTACTCCATCCTCCTGCCACCCCATCCTCTGCCATCCCATCCTCTGCCACCCCATTCTCTGCTACTCC